AGTTTTAATAGCGTGAGTTGAGGAGCTCGCCCCAGGGGAATTGTTTGCAAACGAATAATAAATCGCGCAAATTTACCAGGAAATTAAACAGATTACTGCTTGTGTAGAATTTAATATAAATTATGGTACAATTTTTTATCAGAAAGCATAAAGAATATGTTAAAACATGTTTGAAGTGTAGTAGGCAATAAACTTTGCATCTGCTAATGTATGGGAATATAAGTCTTAAGGAATGAGTCAATATATTTCATTTGCGGGCAATAAAATCGAAATTCGTTTGTTTTGAACGCGAATGAATTTTGTGGGGAAAACTCATTCATGAATTCTAGAATACATGTTTGAACTATAGAAACAAAATGGAACTAGATTTGGTTTTAAATTGGGAGACAAGTCCATATTCCACTTAAGCTTTATACTTTTCACTCAAAGAGCATAATATACATATATTTCCTTCAAATTTTCTTATGCTTATGTCTTAAAAATATTTCAACTAAATCATATTTCAACCCGCTTGAGCAAAAAAGAAGAAGAAGAAATGTCTACAACATTTTCACATTAAAGTGGCCCAAACAAATTGCAAATGTCATTTACAAGGCATAGACATTTGGAATCATGCATTAACTAAATGCAACAGCACATGCATTACAACAACAGCAACAGCAACGGCAACATGAACATGAACAGCAGCAGCAACAAACAGCTGCATTTTACAGTTAAATACAGCAACTAGCACTTAGCCGCACTTGTTCAAAAGCCACAAATCTTTTATGGCATTTGTTTCAAATGCGATAATAACACTTAAGTTGGTAAATTGTTGGCTTAAACGCAAATTAAAGACAACTTTTGACTAGATAGAGCTGAGCAGGCGTTGAAGGCGCGCAGTGCGGGCATATGGGGGCGGAGGTAGTCAGGTGTTTTATCTTTTTGCCTGGTATAATTTATACTTAGCCAAACGCCAAATCAAATTGGTAAGCATTTGACATTTATGCTCAGAGCTGTGAGCTGTGAGCTGGAGCTGGAGCTGGAGCTGAGGAAAAGCACATTCAATGTAATCAAATGCCATGGAAAATGCAGTCAGCGGGCAGGTGGGCGGAGGAGCGGGCAGCAGGAGATGATTTATGCACTCATTGTATAAGATTAGCTAGACATAGGCATACAGCCGGCCAGGCTAGAGCTAAGCAAGGAAAAGCTTTGCGCAGTTATCACGAATGCTGTTGTTAGCCTCAACAGTTACCAGTTGCCGCGTCGCCGCATCGCCACGTTGCGAATCGAAGTTGGTTTCGGTTTTCGTTTTCCCAGGCGCACATTTTGTCACAAGAGGCTGCCATTATTTATGAGAACTTGCAACTAGCTAACAATTTGCAAATGCCGCTGCCTCGCATGCATGCAACCACAGCACCCGGCCGCAGCCCCAGCTCAGATCGGCCGCAGCTGTGGCGTCATGTGGCAGACCCTGACGCAGTCTATGATTTACTTTTGTAAATTCAATAATTGCGCTTCATTAAATTACTTATATTTGTATAGAGTTAACTGTTATTGTAAACAACTTTAAAAGCAATTTGGCATAAACGTCATTGCCAGCAGCAGTCGCAGCAGCTGGGGCTTGGGGTCCGGAGGGAAAGCGTTTCGACCCACAATTTTCCACGCCACTTGAGCGTAATTAGCCGTTGAGCTTCTAAGCGCTATGCAAATAGCACAAGCAGCGCAATGCCAGCCTCTCTGCCTTCTACCTTAGCCACGCCTACCTACGTCCATGTGGGGCTCAACTCTCCCATCTTTTTCCTGCAGCTCTGGCGTCTATATATAAAACAGTTTTCGATTCTATTTTGATAACTGCAAATATTTGCAATAAGCCATTATTTGCCGTACTTTACGTAGTATCTGCTGTGTACGAGTGTGTGCGTGTGTGTGTGTGTGTGTTTGTGTGTGCTTAGCAATTTGTGCTTTCTGCCTTCGCTTTGCATTTTTAACTGTTTTATAGCGTCACCTGAGCTGTGGCCTAATCCCAAGCAAAATAGATACGGAGCACCCACTAAACTTTCAACTCAGAGTTCTCAGTTCGAACTGCGTAGCTCTTTGGGCATTTTCCATGAGCTGGAAGCCACGTGCGTTGTAGGCAACAAAAAAGAAGCAAGTGTAGGATATGAGGGCTCTGGGAGATATGCACAACTCGAAAATACCCTTAGAGCAAGGTCAGACTTTAGATTTGAATGATCTAAGTACACATACCATACATCATCTTATTATTAACTAGAAAATATATTGTTAAGGTACATATGTATATAAGTTTGTAATAGTCTAAGAAAATCAAAGTACATAGATGTCAATGTGCTATATAATAAATAATAAATTAATTTAAGTAAACTATAAATGACAGACTTAACTATAAATAGATCAAGCGAGGTGTGAAAAGATGACAGGACTTTTCTTCTTTCTTTTTCATTCGCATGATACAGATAAGATTGCAAACGTAGCAAAAGAGAAAGTTAAACATGACTTAACCGCCTCAACTTGTCAGCCTACTCGAGAGTTGTCAACCTTCGACTATGACATGCATAACACATAGACATAAATATGATACCCTGTTAAGCAGTGTGCTCATACAGGGTATCCATAGAAGAAAGCCACAAACAAGCTGCTCAAATTTCTAATGGCCATCGGCAAAGTTCATTTGCCTGCAGTTGAGCAGTTGAAGCAGTTTGGCCAGAAGTAAGCGATACCATTATTGGGATTGGGACGGCACTTGACACAACACAAAGGCAAACACTAGCTGGCTGGCTGGCTGGCTGGCTGGCTGGCTAGCTACTCCTATTCCCATTCATTCAGTTCAACTGATGGCTAAGTAGCGCCAACTGCGACTGCTGACTGCCTGTCAGACAGAGATCAAAGCGTCGCGTTGTTTACACAGGCGGCAAAAGTCGCATGCTGTAATTACATAGATGGGTGTGCGACGACAACAACAGCAGCATCGGCAGCAGTAACAGCAACAACAACTATAAAGCCAGCTAGAGCAGCAACAACAAGGACAACACACTATATGAAAAGTCTTGCAACTGGCTGTCAGCTTGGCTAATTGAAACTGGACACACGCTGAGACGCAGACAGCTGCGGTTGGAGGCAAACATAATGGCATTGGGAGAAAGCAGACTGAGCGGGGAGTGCGGGCGCGTGGGCGTGGTGGCGTGGTGGCGTGGCTGGGTAAACAACAATATAACTACTAATGTACACAAGCAAACATATAAGTCACCCAGCCACAGCGCGTATGAGCAATATGCTACAGTTGGACATTCACTGACTCGCCAACTGCTGTGCTGTGCATGTTTTGCATGTGACGCGATGCGCTTTATTTATTGCTTTTTGACTTTCATCGCGAAGTCGCGAATCTGCCTTTAATTGAGTGCCTAATTAAAAGGCATTGAATTACACGCGACCCCAAACATTGGCCATGGCAATTAAATCGAACAAGCGACGCATTTCCAACCTCGTTTGTGTTGTTTTCTTCATTTCGTGCCGTTGTCGATGCAATGTTGCTGATTATTTCGGAAATGCCAATCAGATGAAAGGCCCACAGAACGTACAACAGCATACAGCATACAGCATACTGCAAACAGCAATCCGCATCATGCGCAATCGAAATCGCAGTTCGAAATTCGCAATGCTCGGTTCGTATGCCCCCCTATAAGAGACTTTTATCTTGAGCTGCGCCGTTGTCGTCATCTGCGTTGATTACCGTCTGCATGGAGTCTGCGTCAGCGTGTCGACCAAGTCACTCCCGATCCAGCTCTGACTGAACTCGGCAATTATTCAAGTTGCAAACAAGATTTCAAGTACAACTACAAGTAGGCCCAATTATCTACTGAGCGCAACTGCTAGCTGCAGCGAGACGCGAAGCTAAAGTTCTTAGTTCATTTTGGCAACAATTCGTTTGGTTTTATATACATTTGTGTTGTTTACATTAGCTAACTTATATATAACAAATCTTTGAGCTAACAATCTAAATTTTAACTACAATTAGTAATAGGTTTCAAGTCGTTGCTTAGTATATAGTCTGATCTTCAGAAATATCCACTTGATTTACTGCTGCATGCAATATAGCTGATTGCAATAGCGGTACGTTGTGTTATCGCTCCTTATAATGGTTATGCCCGCTCCGTAGTAAGCTGAAACAGAATTGAATAATTAAATTAAGTTGGAAACAAAATTATAATCTGTATACATACGTATGACGTAGGCCGATCCATCAGCAGGTCCAACCACCTGTAGCGCTATCAAAATGATATCTATCAATTGACCAAGAAACATGCCGCCCAGAGTGCATAATTTGAGCAGCCCAATGCCCGGATAGCCCAAGTAGAAACGATCTACACCGAACATGCCCAGGAACACAGAGAGTAGCAATGTCGTGTCCAAGTGATATCCATTGCTGCGAGTAATAAAAAAAAAGGAGAACTGTAGCCGGCTCAAAAAGGGCAGTGACCCGCACTTACGTCCACTTGCAGGGCATCTCTCGTGTAAACGTTGAGTTGCCCGTTTCGGTGCAATTGATTTCGGGGGCAGCTATGCACCAGACACGCGCTCGATTTTGTTTTGTGCAGCCACGTAGCTGTTGAGTCTTTGGATCTATGTGATTCTTGGCGGGATCGGGGCACATAAATTGCCCCATCAGCAGCTCGTTGCAGTCCACAGTTACGGGTTCTGTTTGCGACACATAGCTGAGCAGTAGCAGCAGCAACGCTACGTACCACAACATTTTGTGATCGTATTATAACAGTGTATAAACTTTGCTATGATTATTTTCCAAATTATGCTTAGACATTTGCAAGAACTTTGTTTTGTTTTGTTTGTGTGTCGTCTTCTTCTTGTACTCTTACGTTGTGGTGGTCCGCCGATAACTATGCAGTGCTGTAAAATTAAAGACTAAATATACGCACACATATGCAACAGATGGCGCTAATTCAAAATGCGCGAATGTTAACTTTTGAATTGTTTAATACTTGAAGTTTATTGAAACAGGCCCGCCTGTTTATTAAACACATATTTCTTGCAATTCAACAGCACGCGAACTTCCTTGGCCTGTTCCGATTTAAGTTGCTCCAGCGTGGCACTCGAGATTCCATCCCTGAATACAATGCACACCTTCGAAGTCTGTCCAAATGTGCGTTCGATGTAACCTGCCTCTCCAGTGGACAACTCCACGCGCTTGCCCACATACATGTCGCGGTTGGCTTCCTTTTTAAAGAGATTATGTACAATGATTTCATTCGAGTTGACAACGCGCTGTACGCTGCCCTCCTTCTGCTTTCTTTTGAATACGCGCAGCTGAGGGAGAACTTCGCTCTGATAGTTGACACAGTGCGTCTGCCAGGCGATGCGACCCCAAAAGGCCAGTCGACAGCTGTTGCTGTGCACATCCATATCCAGCTTAGAGGCAATTAGCGTAGTGGCCACGGTGGTCAGCACTGGCGTCTCGAACTGCAGCAGTGCAAAGAGGCCATCGTCAGACGTTGCCTCCGCCGGCAGCAGCTCCTCTACGTACGCATATTCCCTGCTGCAGTCGAATTCTGGACAGGCAACAGCGTTTTCATCCCGGAATAGCGTCAGGTTGGCCATAACCGTGTCGTGGCCCACGCTGATGTGTAACTTGCCTCTGGAGCGGATTGCCTGTTTGTAGTACCGAATGGGCTGAACCTTCACGCAAACCGCATAAACGGGACGCAGATAGCCTGGCTGAGCTATGATGCCACGCTCCATGAGCTTGGCATTGAACTGGGTGACGCAGAGGCCAATTCGATCGCCAGTACTGGCTTTATCCACCGGCTGGCGGAATCTTTGAATAGATTTCACTTTACGCTTCTCGCCCAACAGCGGCAGCTCCACTGTGTCATTGATGGCCACTTGGCCCTGCAGTAGGGTGCCCGTGCAAACGGTGCCCTGCCCCTTTATGGCGAAACAGTGGTCGACATACATGAGCAACGGTGCATCTGTATTTCGCTGCGGCACATGGTAAGCAGCACGTAGACCCGATCGTAACTCCTCAATATTTGTGCCTTCCAAGGCGGAGACGGCAAAGATGCCCACTTGGTCGCCGTAGCTGGTGTCCGAGAGAGTCTTCCTTAACCTATTTTTAAGCTTTTCCAGCTTGGAGGCGCGCTGTTCTGCTGGCAGTGCATCGATCTTGTTGATGACCACGATCAGCTTCTTCTTCAGCAGTTCGCCAATGACCAAACACTCTGCCGTCTGCGTCTGCATTCCCTTCTGTGCGTCCACCACAAGCAGCATCAGATCAATGATTTGGGCACCTGTAAGCTATACTTCATGAGCTAATTTTCAGCTTTCGCCCTCCAAGTCTCACCTCCAATGATGGTACGTATGAGCGACGCATGTCCTGGACAATCGACGAACGTCAATTGTAGCTGCGATCCATCCGGTTGATCCAATACGAGAGCACTGAACCCCAAGTCGAGTGTAATGCCTCGCTCCACGGACTGCGGGCTCTTATCAAACGCCGCTGTGCTGGAGATAGAGCTCAAGGCACGCGCCAAAGTAGTTTTACCGCTATCTACATGGCCCAAGAGACCGACATTGAAGTTCGTTGTCATTGTTTACAAATAATAAGGGCGCACACACGACATAATCTACACATGCGGTTCATCGGTAAACTATCGATAAATGCTTAGTTACAAAAACAGACAACAGATGGCGACTATAGTAATTCGGTTAATAATAAAATTGTTCGCTCTCAACTTCAATGAATGTAACGCAATTATAAATTTGCTCAGCTCATTCTAACAATGAGTGTGAGATTTCCACGAGCTCCAATGCAAGTTTGTAGATGAGCTTTAATAGGCAACAAGTCTCAGCAGCAGATGTATAAATTCTACGTTTCGAAATGAACTCACGTTACATTTAAAGTGAGTTCGATTCAACGCGTTTAGTTGTAATTAACATCTACTGTGGAGTGGTCAGAATTTAAGAGAAATAAACAAGTTTGACTTGCAAAAATGTCCTCAAAAAATATCATACCCAAAACGGTTAACCCCGATCTGCAGAAGGAGCGCGAGGGCGCCAGTTTTAGCAGCGAAGAGTTTGCAGTGTGGTGGGCGGGTGGAAAAGAGAAACTTGAGTTAAATAGAACTGTTCGTAAGTTCAAAATATTTAGTTATTCTATAATTGTTTATTTCTGCTCGAGTGTTTGTAATCTAATTTGTGTTTTATTTTAAGACTGCAAATTGATTATATTAAATAAATTAAAGCAAGTTTTGTCAAAGGAACTCCCCAAATGAGATTTGGCTTTGTATCCTCCACAAAACTTCGAGAGCTTAAAGTTTTTTACGCTTGGAACACAGATAATAGCGCTTAAAATTATATTCAAATTAATTTAGCATGCTCGCAGCCTTTAACTTTAAATAATGCAAATGAGTGGAAGTTCAAAAGGTTCGCTTTGAAGCGTTCTTTAATCTTAAATAAGAATATATTATTCGTATTTTACATAGTTTTAAGATTTATTTAATATTTTTTGGATATTATTTTTTCCATTTACAGGCGAGTATATGTACAAGGATTTCGACTATGATGAGAGCCAACAGCTTTATTACAAATCGCATGAGGATATGTGCGAATTCGCCGTAAAGTCCAGCATAGGTGCTGCGAAAAAACTACGCCAGCTACAAGCGCGACGAAATCCTGGTGGCAATGAATACTGGCCGTTAGTAAAAACAGTTTATTTATATAGATTGAATTCATACCCTACTGTTTTCAATGCATCAGTACACTCTTTGACGAACCAGAACTGTGGAGTCTACATCAGGCTGGTAATCCCTTCAATGTGATGTACATGGTCGTGGTGGATGCTCTAAGGACTCAATGCACCCCGGAGCAGTACACAGAGTTTGGTGTGCGAGTGGAACGCTTTGAGGTAACGGCTACCTATGCCCAGACGGAGCTGGGTCACAGCAGCCATTTACGTGGTCTAGAAACACGCGCTGAGTTTGATCGGCTTACGGATGAGTTTGTGTTGAATACGCCTTCCATATCAGCGTACAAATGGTGGCCAGGGGGATGTGAGTGGCTTATACTTTAGTTATGAGCTCTTAATCCTAACTTCCATCCTTTCCAGTGGGTCAATGTTCCAACCATGCGATAGTTATGGCACAACTATACATTGATGGAGAGCTTAAGGGGCTACACATGTTTTACGTGCAGTTGCGAGAGGAACACACTCATGAGCCACGGCTAGGCGTACACATTGGCGAGCTGGGCAAGAAGATGGGCTTTCTGGGCGTCAATAATGGTTTCCTCGGTATGAAGAACGTTCGCATTCCACGCACTCGGATGCTCATGCGCCATGCCCAGGTGCATCGTGATGGCACCTACGTAAAGAGTCCTGTGGACTCTCTCACCTACTTTGCAATGCTTTCCACGCGATGCATCGTGGTTCGCAACTCGGCTGTCGCGCTGGCCTCAGCAGTCACTATAGCCACGCGATTCTCGGCTGTGCGTCGCCAATCTCCCATTGATACCAGGTGTTACACTCCCTAGATAGTCAAAAATATCATAATAGCTGAAGTGATTCCCATTTTCAGTTTACCCGAGCCGCAGATCTTGGATCATGTCACTCAACAGTTAAAGGTCTTTCCGGAGATAGCTGCCAGCTTGGCCTATCGCCTAGCCTACAATTACCTCAGGGAGTTCTTTAACGATACTTCCAAGGATATTAATCAGGGCAACTATAATCGTCTGCCCGAGCTGCACTCTCTCTCGTGTGCCTTGAAGGTTATGAGCACAAGTGACTCCGCCGCGGGCATTGAGCGACTGCGTCTGGCCTGCGGTGGCCTTGGCTATCTTGCCTCTGCCAATCTATGCAATATTTATGTAAATACAGTCGCTGCCTGCACCTACGAGGGGGAGAATACTGTGCTTCTCCTCCAGGTTGGTCGCTTCCTCATGAAGTCGTGGCGTGCAGCTCAGAGTGGAGCTCCACTTGCGGTCACTGCCAGCTACTTGGCAGAGGTGCAGCGGAATACGGAGTTTGGATTGTGGTCAGGCAGTTGGGAGAACTTGGTGAAGGCAATGCAATTTGCTGCTGCTAAGTGAGTTGTCCGTAGTCTTAAATTCTCATGCAGCCTGTAATTTACTTTATATTCTTCAGTAAAACTCGTCTGGCCTTTAAGAGTTTATCAAATCGGATCGATAAAGGAGAAACGGAGCGAATGGCCTCTAGCCACACAGGCATTGAGCTCACGCAGGCAGCTCAGGTACTGTATGACTCAATTGATATATTTTCATATATATACGCATATTTCGTATAGTTACATGCTCGTGCCTTTGTGCTGCACAACTTCCTTGTTGAGGTAAAAGGGCCAAAGTCCAAGGCTCGCTCGCCTGCCTTGAATCGAGTGCTGGAGGATCTGCTGGAGCTATACTTTGTGAATGTTGCATTGAACAATATGAGTGATATACTTCGCGTGGTCAACTTGACCGATGAAGATCTGAACATGCTTCAGGCTCGTCTGGGGGCGGCGCTTGCCAAACTGCGGCCCAATGCGGTGGCCATTGTAGATGGATTTGACTTTGGTGATGCGCAGTTGAATTCAACTCTGGGATCTCATGATGGCAATATGATCGAGCGAGTCTTCGATGCAGCCTTGAAGGCTCCCATGAACCGGAAGTCGGTGCCGAAAAGCTTTCACGAGCATTTGGGCCCGTTCATGAAATCAAACATCTGAAACGAACATTTAAAAAAATTACTAAATGCATATTGTATGGATTGGGGATCTTATGCAAATTTTGTATATCAATTTATATTATTAATTTTTTGATAATATTCTTGTTAATTTAATTGTATGGTTCGCGCGAGTTATTTTGAATGAAACCTAAACAAAACTCAGCTCAAATTTATTTACAACAGATGGCGACAGTGTGCCAAACAAAAGCACTCGCAACCTACCTCAATGCAGTAAGCAACACGCATATACGCATATATGTATGCACATACATATGTATATGTATTTCGGTTATGATTATTTTTACAACATGAAAGCTTTTTAAGTTCAAAGCTCTTCATAAAACGACTCTGATAGTAGCAAAGAGATATGGAGAGCGAGAGAGAAGAGAACCGGTAAAGAGAGTGAACGATTTCGACTTTAAATTTCCATTAAATTTCAATACGACTTCAGTTGCGATCTGGAACGCGTGGCAAGTGGTGGTTGCTTGGGATCAAACTTTCGATTAACATAAATAAATTAAAGTACTTAATATGTCTGCAAGCAGCGTGATACCCAGCACAGTTAATACCGATCTGCAAAAGGAACGCGATGGCGCTAGCTTCAACAGCGAAGAATTCGCTGCCTGGTGGGCGGGCGGCGCAGAGCAATTGAAATTTAAGAGAGGCATCAGTAAGTAAGAGCAAGTTTGGAATACTTAAGCATGCAACAACGTAAATACCTGCTTCTAATACTATGTATGTATGTACATCTGTATAATGTCAACACACCGTTTGCGTTTGTTATCACATCTACATTGGTGGTCAAAGGTCCAGATAAACAAATGCAATCTCGATGTCGAAGCTAAAATCAGCTTTATTATGTTTTTAATAAACATCTAAGACTAACTACTAATGCTGACTAAGCACTTTTTACTCTTTGGCTCTAACTCTCTCTCGTTCCCTCTGTTTGCAGAAGAGTACATGTATAAGGATGTTGACTTTGCTGCCCTCAATCAGGTCGACTACATGTCACATGAGGACATGTGCGAGTTCGCCGTAAAGAACAGCATTAATGTGGCGAAAAAGCTGCGGCAGCTGCAGGCAGAGCGAAATCCAGGTGGCAACGAATATTGGCCGTGAGTAAATGTAACTCTCTTAAACAGAGTTCTTCTCTAACTGCCTCTCTATATATTGCAGTACGCTGTATGATTCGCCCGAGCTTTGGGGTCTGCACAAAGTGGGAAATCCGTTCACCGTGATGTTCGTGATGGTAATTCACGCTCTGAAGGATCAGTGCACACCCGAACAGTACGAAGAGTTCGGCAAGCGGGTGGAACGCTTCGAAGTATCGGTGGCCTATGCCCAAACGGAACTGGGACATGGTACCTACTTGCGTGGCCTGGAGACACGCGCCGACTACGATCGGGAGACGGATGAGTTTGTACTGAATACACCTACCATTACCGCCTACAAGTGGTGGCCAGGCGGACGTGAGTTGTACATTAACTAATGATAACTGCCTTAATCCTAACTTCCATCCTTTTCAGTGGGCCAGTGCTCCAACTATTCGATTGTCATGGCACAGCTGTACATAGATGGAGAGCTCAAGGGACCTCACTTATTCTATGTGCAGGTGCGAGAGGAAGACACGCATGAGCCACGGCCAGGCGTGCACATAGGTGAGATTGGAAAGAAGATGGGCTTCCTGGCCGTTAATAATGGCTTCCTGGGTATGAAGAACGTGCGCATTCCACGCACTCGGATGCTCATGCGGCATGCCAAGGTGAACCGTGATGGCACCTACGTAAAGAGTCCGGCCGATGCCCTCACTTACTTTGCCATGGTCCGCACTCGCTGCATCATTGCCCGCAACATGTCGCTGATTCTGGCCGTGGCAGCCACCATTGGCACTCGCTACTCCGCTGTACGCCGACAGAGTCCCATCGATCCCAAGTATGAATTATTCTGTGCTTTTACCAATATTTTGTTTACATATAGAAACTACTTTGCAGGTTGCCCGAGCCTCAGATCTTGGATCATGTCACCCAACAGCTGAAGGTCATCCCAGAGATAGCCGCCAGCTTGGCCTATCGTAATGCTTGTGACTACCTCCTGGAATTGTTTGATGCCACCTCCAGAGATAAGGACCTGGGCAAATACGAGCGACTGCCCGAGCTGCACTCGCTCTCCTGTGCTCTGAAGGTGCTCTGTTCCAGCGATGCCTCCGCGGGGATTGAGCGTCTGCGATTGGCTTGTGGTGGTCATGGTTACCTGACCTCTGCTAATCTTGGCAACATCTATGTCAACGCAACAGCTGCCTGCACCTATGAGGGGGAAAATACTGTGCTTCTACTCCAGATTGGGCGTTTCCTGATGAAGTCGTGGCGCGCGGCACAGAGTGGAGCTCCCCTAGCACCCAGTGTCAGTTATTTTGCAGAGGTGCAGCGGAATCCCGAGTTTGGAGTCTGGACGGGCAGTTGGGAGAACTTGGTTAAGGCAATGCAATTTGCTGCAGCAAAGTGAGTTATGCGTATGATAAATGCCTAATTCTGATCTGTCATAATCCAATTTCCCTTTACATTCATTAGCAAGACTCGCATCGCCTTCAATAATCTGGCCAAGCGCTTGGCCAACGGCCAATCGGAGGAGGTTGCCGCTAACCAAACGGGCATTGAACTCACCCAGGCTGCAGAGGTACAGTTACATTAATTCTTTTCAGTAGAGTGTATAATCTAAGTATAGTTACATTTTTTCCCTAGCTGCATGGTCGCGCATTTGTTTTCCATTCATTCCTCACTGAGGTAACTGGGGCAAAGTCCAAGAAGCGCTCGTCAGCTCTTAATCGAGTGCTGGAGCAGCTGCTCGAGCTCTACCTAGTGAACGTTACACTGAACAACATGAACAACATCCTCCGTGTTGTGGACTTAACGGATGAGGACCTGAACAAGCTGCAGACACGTCTGGAGACAGCTTTGACCAAATTGCGCCCGGATGCGGTGGCCATTGTCGATGGCTTCGACTTCGCTGATGAGCAATTGAATTCCACATTGGGCTCCTATGATGGCAATGCTTATGAGCGCATCTTCGATGCCGCTATGAATGCGCCCCTGAACCAAAAATCGGTGCCTAAGAGCTTCCACGAGCACCTGGGGCCCTTCATGAAGTCCAACTTATAAAACGCTGATGTATATTCGTCTCTTAGTTCTGTTTCTTATTATTGTATATATGTATGTATTTTACTCTTAATTGATTTGTAAACACTTGTTAATCGCATCAGCAGCAGCGCTTACAAGTTGATTTATGCTTTATCTGCGCTCTCTTTGACGTGCGCTCAGCGAGTATATTGTGATGAAAGCTCTTCAGCTTGTTGCTCTGCACTTTGCCCTCAAAGCTTTTTTCCTCATACTCGCTCTGTGCGCTATCGTCTCAGTTGAGCGTTGTAGCTTGGAGCGACAGCAGCGATCGTGCTTTCTATTTTATTATTGTCTGGTCTTTTGTTAAATATTGTAATATACTAAGATGTCGCATATTAAAAATCTAATACCAACGACTGTTAATCCTGATTTGCAAAAGGAGCGCTCGTCGGCCAGCTTTGATGTGAACGAGTTTGCTGCCTGGTGGCAGGGGGGAGCTGATAAACTTGAATTGAAGAGAAAAATTGGTAAGCAAAGCGCACACACACTCACACAGCTTAAGCTTGCTGGCTCTGTCTTTCTCTCAGTTGCTCTCGTGCCCTTCGTAAGCTACGTGATTTAGCCGCTGCTCGGCTAACTGTTTATCAGAAATGTTAATAATGTTTAGCTAGCCGGCAAAGTCCATTAGATTATATCAAATACATTGTCTATTGATTTCACGTGTAAGCAAAATGTTTGATAAGGTGCTTTATGTCTTTATGTCCATTGATTTTGGTTATCAGTCTGAATTGTATTTACTTCTTTGATTGCATTTAATATCTGCAATCCAAAGTGTAAAGGCTGGTAGGACAGACTTTGATATGAACTATGCACTTCCCATAGACTTTTAATATTGTATCATCTTATCTTCATCTTTAGAGCTTGCTATCTTTAGTGATTTGGAGGACGGCTATGGCATCAACCATGAGTACATGTCCCACGAGGATCTCTACAATTCCACCGTAAAGAAGGTCGCCGAAGCAGCACCTAAGCTGAAGGCCCTGCAGGAGAAACTGAATCCGGGCGGCAAGGACATTTGGCCGTAAGTTTAACTCACGCTTAACCTAACTGAAGTAAATCCAATTATAATTATTCATAGTGGCTGCCTGTTCCGCGTTCAGAGCCACGGACTCTTTCCGGCTAATCATCCGCTGGCCACCCACATTACCATGTTTGTGGACGTGATCAAGGGTCAGGGCACACCAGAGCAGGTGGAGAAGTGGGGAACTTTGGCCGAGAACTGCAATATAATTGGCACCTATGCCCAAACAGAATTGGCCCACGGAACCAATGTGCGTGGCATCGAGACACGCGCCGACTACGATCCCAGAGCGGGCGAGTTTGTACTCAACACGCCCAACCTGGAGGCCTACAAGTGGTGGCCCGGCGGCAGTAAGTGCTTTGCATATATAAACTTAATCTTGAGTGCTTGAGTATTAATATTCAATCCTCTTCACAGTGGGCCACACGGCCAACCACGCCATGGTGGTTGCCCAGCTGTACATATCCGGCAAACTCAAGGGTGTGCAAATGTTTATTGTGCCGCTGCGTGATCCGGAGACCCACATGCCTCTGCCAGGCATTGACATTGGCGAGGTGGGCAAGAAGTTGGGCATGGCTGCGGTCAACCAGGGCTTTCTGGGCCTGAAGAACGTGCGCATCCCACGCACCAACATGCTGATGAAGTACGCCAAGGTGGAGCGCGACGGCACCTTCATCGCCAGCCCCGCCTCGAGGGTTAACTACTTGACAATGGTTTACACGCGCTGCCTCATCGTTAACTTGAACTCATCGCTATTGCTCCAGGCGGCCACCATAGCCACTCGGTACTCGGCCGTGCGTCGCCAGAGTCCCATTGAGCCCGAGTAAGTAAGACACCTTTAACTGCTTGATATAGTTCTCTGACTCTTTTGTTTTTCCCTGCCAGTGAGGCCGAGCCGCAGATCATTGACCACGTGACACAGCGACTGAAACTGTTCCCCGAGATAGCGACCGGCATGGCCTACGACATCGCCGCGAAGCACATGTGGGAGCTGTACGATCAGACGGTGTTGGATGCCAACAATGGAAAATTCGACCGTCTGCCCGACATGCACATTATGTCGTGTGCCCTGAAGGTCCTCTGCACCACCGACAGCTGCGCGGGCATTGAGCGTCTGCGTCTATCCACTGGCGGCCATGGCTATCACATTGCTGCCAATCTGAGTAACATTTACGGCAACGCGGTAGCTGCGTACACCTATGAAGGCGAAAACACCGTGCTGCTCTTGCAGATTGGGCGTGCTCTGGTCAAGGCTTGGAACAGTTTTAAGCAAGGCCAGGGCGTCTCTCCCGCGTATGGCTACTTTGCGTCGTCTATGCGCCTGAAGGAATTCCCCAAGTGGAACAATTCTTGGCAGATCATTATTCAAGCATTGCAATATACAGCTGCCCAGTAAGTGTGTGAGATGTACAGCCAGGAGACTGACTAAACCCTTCTGTATTTTCTGTATTTATAGCAAGACACGCATCGCATTTGAGAACATGTCGGAGAGAATTGCTGCTGGGCAATCACAGGCTGTCGCAGCCAACAACACGGGTATCGAGCTCACCAGAGCAGCCGAGGTAAGCCATTTAATTAAACTGTCTTTAGTTGAATAGCTAATCTGCATTAAATCCCTTCGATAGTTCCATGGTCGCCAGTTTGTGTGTGAAACGTTTTTGAACCAAATTACTGGACCTAATGCACAGAATCGTTCGCCCGCCTTAAACAGGGTGCTGGAAAATGTGTTGGAGCTGTTCCTGGTGCAGACTGTCCTCAACAATCTGGGCGAGATCTTGAGAGTAATAATAACACTTATAATATTGCAGTTTGGTTAGACCTTATTAATCATGTATTCGCATTTCTAGTTTGTCCATCTGACCGATGCCGATCTGAGATCTTTGCAGAAGCGTCTGGAAGTGTCGCTAGAGAAATTGCGTCCCGATGCGGTTGCCATCTGTGATGGCTTCGACTATCATGATCGCGTGCTTAACTCGGTGCTGGGCAGCTACGATGGCAATGTCTATCCACGAATCTTCGATGCGGCCAAACGCAGCACCATGAACCAACGACCAGTGCAAAAATCATTTGAGACCTATCTGAAACCCTTGATGAAGGCCAGATTGTAAAGAGTGCAATACAAAGGATGAAAGTTAACCATTGCTTGCATTTCAAAAATACAATTAAATGACATGAATTTAATGGCAGGTCCAAAATAAAAATGTGCCAAATGATATAATATTTTAACAACCAACCTTTTTATCACCATGGATGGAGAGAGATATAGCAAATAAATACTACTCGTGAGAGTTATTGAAATACGGTAAGTGTTCATCAACTATCATTATAATCATTCCTACATCATGTTTAAGCTAAGAGGATTATAAAAAATCGTCTGAGGCCCCTTCCCATTTCCAGATGTTAACACTCTTTCGTATTGTTTAAATTAGTTTTATTCCGTTTTTATTTAGCAAATCAAAACCAATTTCTCAGTACATTCAGCGCATTTAATAAACTAACAAACTAAACGCTTACATAATAGCAATAAAAAAAAAATAAAACACATTATGTAAACTTTTTGAAAAGAGAGAGATAGCGAGAATCGAACGTAGTACAGCTACGAGTAAGTATATGTGTATAAAAAAGTTGCAGTTGCGTTTTTTACAGTGTAGAAAAAGTTGGTATTCGTATGCAGAATGTGTGTGTTGTGTGTGTGTGGATTGTATTTTTGTTCTCTTCTCGGTTTTTGTTTTTTGTTTTTGTTTTTTTTTTTTTAATAATGATGAAAGTTTTTGTTTAAACATTTCTATACTGTCTGCTGTGTATATATAGTTAAATTACATATGAATTATTTAATTATATATGCATCATACATGATAATTACACACACAATTGATTTAGTTGGCTTAACTTTATGCTATTATTATTATAATTATTATTATAACTTTCTTTTCATAATGAAAATATGGCATATGAGCGTTAAAATTGAAGGGTTTTGGGTTCTTCAAAGGGTTTTCGATTAACATTTAAACAAATATTGCGGCTAATTTTATGTTGTGTGTGTGTGTGTGTTTGTAAGGTTTTAACAGTATTGTGTGATTGTGTGTGTGTGTGTGTGTGTATGTGTAGTGTAGGCAGGAGTTAGTTGTAAACTTAACAATAATAGACTTTTACTATTGCGTGTTTGTTCTTTGTTTATTTTAATATTTATTGTGTTCTTCTTTTTATGCATTGTAAAAATTATAAACAATTTAGTTAGAGCGCAAGTCGAACGTAAAGCTAAATAAATGCACAATTGTTGCATGCGTTATATTTTATTTTCGATTTTGATTTTTAGCCATGGAAGAGGAAGCAGCTGAAGTTAGGTGAAGCGCAGTAGAAAAAGTTGAATTCATTTCATTTGATGTTAGGCTGGCGTAACTTAATTAAATTATACAAATTACTTTTGCTTTTTCTGATTTCTTGATTTCATTTCGTATTCAATTTTAATAAATATTTTCCTTGTGTTTGGTTTTTTATTTAGAAAATAGTAGAAATTTTGTGTTATTTTTTCTCTAGTTCAGTTTGGAAAATGTTTTTACGCTTCGTTTTAATTTGTTTTGTTTTTTTTTTTTTGTGTTTTCTTTTTGTTTGTTTCGTTTTTAGGAATTACACTAATAATTACATAGTTATGCTTATGTATAATATGTATATAAACTTAAAAACATTTATGCATCATTTTCCATATTTCAGATGTGCCACGCAGATAATTATTCGGTAATCGGATTTCTCGTTTCTATCAGTTTTTAATTGTGATTTCGATTTTATTTAAAATTAACAAGTTTTCTTTTTTTTCTTTTCTTTTTTGTGGTTTACAAATTGGCGCTTATTAGGCTTTTTGTTTTTATTTTTCGACTTTATTAAAGAGTGACATCCAATTATATAATTGTGTATTCAGCTAACATATATGTTTTTTTTTTTTATAATATTATTCAATATGCACGAAATGAATTCATTTTCGTTTACATCTATGTAGTTGTGTGTGTGTGTGTGTAAGTTTTGGGTGTGTGTATTATAATTATTGTTATTATTTTTTGTTTGCTCTACTCATTTATATTCATAATTAATTTGCTTAATTTTGCCCGCCCTTATATTGTTTTTTTTTTTCACTATTTTTATATATATATATATATATATATTTATATAATTTCTGGTTTTTGTTATTATAAATTTCGCATGATTTAATTTGCTTTTATATAGTATTTGATATTTTGTTGTTTTTGTTGCTGTTGTATTACACAATTTGCTTAAAACTTACTTAATTAGAAAAGTTTGCACACACATGCACACACACACACCCAACGAACTGCGTCTGTGTGTATGTGTGTGTGTATGTGGGTGTGTGTCGCATTTAACTTACAGGTAAGTTTGAAAATTTTCCGAATTTTCTTTTCAGTTTATTTATTTTTTTTTCTTTCATTTTTGTTTCTTTTCTTTTGTTACCCCTCACGAATAAATTGTGTTTCTCTTAAGAGTTGTTTGTTTGCTGTTGTTTTTTTGTTGTTGTGTTAGTTGTTGCTGCCGTTCGTTAAAGCAACTGGGAAATTTCGCGCAGTGTATTGAGCTGAGCTGAGCTGTCGATTAACCGTATTCAAACCCGTGCCAATTACTGTTGACTGCCACGCCCACATTCAGATTTCTGCTGCTGCCGCACCCCGCTCCCCGTCTCGTCCAGATCAGCTTAATATCTGCGCGCTTGGCCATTATCTCAGGCGTAGAACTCACGATTATTCGCATTTTTCGCATAGGAATTATTAGCGGGCGAACGCTTTGGCTCGTCCAGCGCATAGGAGCCCTCGTCCTTTTTCCGCATGCGATACACAATGAACATGACGACCAAAATGGCGCACAGCAGCCCAACCACGGCGCCACCAATGACAGCTATAAGAATGATCAAAGAGACGATCGATTATTATTGCATTGATTGTTGTATATATGTATAAGTATATGAGCTATTGGGCTCTTCTACTCACCAGCCAAGATGCCGGGCTGCGCAAAGAAACTTGTCGTGCGATCCTCCTCGCTCATGATGACGATATCCCCGCTGCCGCCGGGCCTGTGCTCGCTGATCTTTGTGTCTGTGGGCTGGCTATTTATATTGGTGTTGGGGTCCAATTCGTGGACGTTGGTGCTGCCGCTGCTGCCACCCGCTGCAAAAAGTCAATATAGAGCATTGAGTTTATGTATATATGTAAGTGCATGTATGTACATATGTTTGTAGAGTATTGAGGAGTTTATGCGAGAGTATCAAACGTGCAGAAACACAAATAGTTACGTAGTACATAGAACCAGTGTCCAGTGTGTAAGTGTGCGAGTGTCGCCGTGTGTGTGTGTGTTAATGAGCTGAACTAGATACGTGTGTGTGTGTGTGTGTGTGAGTGAGTGAGTGTGAGAATCTATATAGATATATGCAATATATACAGGCTTTAAAATGCTAAGTTAGTTAGTTAGTTGTTCAGCTGGGCTCAACTACTTTGATCTGCGAGCATTTTGAGAACTTCTCTCTGGCCTATGACAGTTGGCTAGAAATTCAATTTATCAACCAGGAGTTCGCGGACCAGCGCCCCCCCTGCCGTCTCCTGCCATAATCAGAAAACTTTTGTCACAAATTTCTGGTCTATCCTCGAACAACTCGACTAAACTTGTTTTTTCCTGCCAACTATTAATCTTGCCTTCGCTGCTGTTGACCCAGTTGGCAGTTGAAAATTTGCATATTTTAACTCAAATTTCTGGCAGTTTGAAATCTCTGTTTGTTTTTTCTTCTCTTTTCCCCATCTTCTGTCTTATGTTATGCTCGTAAACACCTGAATGCGTAAATTTAATGCCAATTAGCACTCGGAGCAAATGAATTTTAATTAATTTAATTGGCATTTCCCCTCACGCTCATGCGGGGGCACATGTCAGGAGCAGGTCAAAGGGTTCGCTTGAAATGAGCTTAAGACAAACAAACGAATAAACAAACAAACAAACAAACAAGCGAACAAGTGAGCAAACATATTGCTTGTTTAGTCCTTGTATCGTGCTTGCAATGTCAACACAAATACAAACATCACATACATATGTGTATGTTTATGTCTGTGTGTATAGCTAAACGAGGGCTCTCCAATAAGTGACAGACAGATAGAGAGGCGAAGTGAGAGAGGGCGTGTTAGAGTGAGAGGCACATTGAGCACTTTAATTAGAATCTCTGCCTAAAAGTCTGCCTCCTGCACTTTCGAGTATTTTACTGAACTAGTTTTTCTCTAGTTCAATTAATGGCATCTCAGAGCAAATTGATTTTAATACAAGTCATTATATCAGAGCTGCAATTATAGCTCTTTGATGTTAATGTAAACAAGATTACAATATTTTGATTAAATTTATATGCTCCAATTGAATCACTTATTCATACATTTTATATACTATACATTTTAGACTCAGCTATAAACTATGACTAGAAACTATTTAAATATTTTCTCTAAATAAACTATCCTTTATATATATTTATTTATTGAGCTGCCCTCGCATATGTGCTATTGTTCATGGCTGTCAGAGCATTTGAAATACAATTCAGCATATTAATTAGGATCAACATTGCCGCCGGCACTTCAGATACTCCAGCCATGAGGGCATCGAAGGGGTAATCCAGCTCATTTGCCGAAAATAGAAAATTAATGAGCATTGAGCGGATTGAGTATTTATTTTCTTGCTCAGGTTAGCTTTAAGTTGTCGAAGTTCCCAGAAAGGTTAAGCCTAGGGAACTGTTCTAGGGCGTTTCTCAAGATGGTGCTGTAAATAGTTTTTGCTTTTGGCTGGGAACTGAAGCCAGCTGATGCTGCTGCTGCTGCCGCTCTTGTTGTTTGGTTGTCTAATGCAAATCAAAGCAGTTGCAGAACTCTTTGACTGTGGCCTGATTGAAAAATGCACTCTGCACAGCACTCCCAGTCCGTGGGCGTGGCCAGAGGCACTATAGAATGTTGATTGTCAAAGCCAAGCAGGAGACACACAGCCCACACCACACCGAAAACGGCTCAGACAAAGGCACTAAACGCCAATGCGTCGTATACGCAACAAACAATGTGGCAACTGCCTCCGCAAACAGGGCGCGCGGCAATGAGGTGCCAAGGGCGTGGCGGGATAGCGGGTAGGGTAGCGGATCGTTGATGGTGTGCCACGCCTCCTACATACACCCTTCAAACAGTGATTTTTCATGTGAAGTGGCCCTGTGAAGTGTTTTCCCCTCGTTGCCAGTGGAAAATCACAGCGCAGCTTAGTGAGTTCCTTCAGAAGTTTGGTGCTGCAGACAGTAAATCTAATGCTTAGGGACTGTCGGTGTGACTGCTCGTGTGTGTGGCTGTATGTGTGTGTTAATGGAACTTTACAGCACACAATTGCGAACCGTGTTGTGCGGCTCAAAAAGCCAGCCAAATGGCAGCCGTTGATTGAGTGGCTTTGCTCCAGCTGGAAAAGAGGGAAGCGAGCACAGCCATATCGATTGTTTGTTCGTTTGTTTGTTTGGTTGTTTTATTTTTTTTGTTTTTGTTTTTGTGGACTTATCGGCTCAGAAGACAGCAATAGTCATTAATTAATCCCCAACTTTCAATTTAAAATCCCCAAAAAGCTAAAAAGCCTTTGCTATAAATGAGGGCGAGAGTGAGGCAAATGAAATGAGCATGAGGTGAATGAAACTAATGTGAAATATATAGCTGAAAATTGAAACTCTGTGTTTTGGATATTGTTGGCAAGGGTATCAAGAGTTGGTCGTATGTGATGTGCAACCAGAACCGAGACAAGGACAACGCGTCGATCAACGTAGAGGCAAAGAGAGAGAGAGAGAGAGAGAGAGAGAGACACAGAGAGAGAGATTGCAGCAGCCGTGATGAGATCTAAACTAAAAACTAAACTCAATTCGTACTTACATAAGGGTTAAATCAAAGAAATACAATCAAATAAAAGAAAAAAAAAAAAAATAAATAAACTGCCCAACTATATATATTATATATAGAGAGAAAGAGAGGGATAGAGGTGTTGTGCACTGTAGAAACAATAGATATAAAAAATATAATATAATCAAATTATTATATAAAATTAATTAATTAAACTACATAAATAATACGGAATAAGGCAAAAGCAATTAGCTAAATAAATAAATCATCAGCCAACAAAAGCGACAGCAATGCCAAAATGACAATTGAATATGGTGAAGTCGCTTTTGTTTACTGAAAATGTGTCAAAAACTAGTCGCATGCTGCACAGGCTACACTGCAAGAAATAGGTGCAAAGTTTGATTGCAAACTCGAAATATTGAATCGAATCAATAATTGATTTCAATTATATATATATATATAGTCTGTATATATATATCTTCATCTTTTGCATTCACTTTTCTCGCAGTGCACTTTGGCAGTCGACTAATCTTTGGCTCACACAACCGAAGCATGCCACAGAGCGTAAACTTAAAGCATAGTAATGTGGAAATGTGCAAACACTGCTCCCGGACAAAGCGCACACAGTGAGAAATTGATAGAAAAAATAGCAACAAAGAATGATAACAAAGGACAGTCACCAAATACAAGATATACAGACGAATGAAAGCAAAATACAAACAGAAAGGCAACGCAAGGATAACAAACTAAAAAAGCACACAACAGAAATATAAGAGGGAAACACAAAGAAATAAACAAAATAATAAAAATGGAAGAACCACTGACATCCGCCGGCTGTGTGTGTCACATCCTTGTTGACACTGATCTCCGTGTAGAGTCCGTCGTCCTCGTCCACATTCTCATCCAAGTCGATAATGCGACCATCACCATCGCCATCGTTGTCATTGCGTCCATTGGACGTCTCCACATGCGTGTGATGCGTTTGAGTGATTTCGCTCTCGGGATGTGGATCGATCAGCTGATCGTCTTTGTCGTCCACATCGTCGCCATTGTCATCAGCATCGTCATCCTCATCATCGTCATCATCACCATCGTCATCGTCATCATTACCATCGCCACTGCCCTGCAGCGTATCCTCGTGATCGAAGGCATCGTCCTCATCCTCGGCATCCGGCAGCAATGGAAGTTGGGGCGTGGACTGATTAAAGTTCGAGCTGGGTGTGGCCACGGTGGTGCTGGTGGTGGTGGTGGTGGTGATGGTGCTACTGTTGTTGTCACCTGATTTCGATTGTTGTTCGGTTGCAGTGTTGTTGAGTTGGGGCGGATTGGTGGTTGTGCTAGTGGAGGTGGAGATGGTGGTGGTGGTTGTGTTTGATGCTGTGTTTAAATAAAAATTTTTGAAAATTTGTAAAGGTGAAATGTTGTCGCCATTTTGGTTGTTGTGGTTATTGGTGCTATTGTTGTTGTCACCTAATTTCGATTGTCGTAAGATATGAATATTAGAGGGTCTCTGGAAAAGTGGAGTTTTGCCATATCGGTTGTTGTTGTCGTTCGTGTTGTTGTAATTACTTAAAATTGGTGTTGGATCTGTTGGAATTAAAGGGTTCGTTATGTTTGAGGTGTTCAAATTGTATAAGGGATTGGTAATGTTTGTTGTGGTTATGGCTGTTGTGGTTGTGGTTGTGGCTGTTGTTGTTGTTGTTGTGTTGGTAAATTGATTATTATGAGATGTAGAAGATGTAACGTTGGCATTGTCTATGGTTGTTGTTAGTCTAGCTTGATCTTTACCGATTGTGCTGATGCCACTACCACTGCTGATGATGCCGTTGTTGTTCTGGTTGTTGTTGTTGTTCTGGTTGTTGATATTATGATTGCTGTTGGCGTTGGTGCTACTACCAATGATTGTGCCACTATTCGCTGGATGATTGTTATTATTATTATTATTATTATTATTATTATTGATATTGAGATTATTAAGATTGTTCTTGTTGTTGATGTCGATTTGATTATGATGATTGATTATACTCGAGATGAGATCGTTGTCGTCGTTGTCGTTCGTTTTATGCTTACTATTTGAGTTGCCCGCGTTCTGTAGGCGCGTGTTGTGCGAACTGGAATGGTGATCGGTTATGGCGTCCTCGTCATCGGGTCCAAAGCCAGAGCCAGAGTAGTCCGTTTCCTTCTCTAGATCATCGTGTATCTGAAACAATAGAACAAAGGTCCAAAAGTTAAATGCTTTTTCTTTCGCCAACAGCAGCAACTGCAATACAAGCTAAGAACTGTTGCTTTTGTCGCAAATTCCCTTTGGAGCGGACGGACGCTTTTGTGTGGCGCAACAAATGGCAACGATTTGCATTGAAAATTATGCGACTGCCATGTCCTTGACAAGCAGCAGCGCGTACGGTGCTTGGACTAGCGGGTGCGGAGCTGAGGGACGGGGGCGTGGCACAATGGGGCATACCTACACTGGGGACACATTTATATGGCCATTGTCTGGCATCGGGCCCCAGTTGGTTGGACTATTGCGAATGTTGTGGCTTTCGTGCCTTCACTGTGGCTTCTGCGGTTTATTTGGGCAACACAAAACACACACACACACACGCACACACACACACACACAGACAATGACAGAACAAACTGTGACCAATGCCAATTGTCCTGGCACAGAGGCTGTGCCCCCACACTCGACGCTTGTTTATTTACTTTAATTTTGTCGCCGTTTGCTTTGGCCCATAAAAACAGTGCAGGACACAGGACAAAGGACAGACAGTGAGAGGCTGATAGAGAGGAAGAGGGCGACAGAGAGTGAGGGGAGCTGGATTCAAGGAGTCAGTAGCCTGAAGCAACTTAATTGAATTTGTTCACGCATTATGAAATGCCAACATGTTTACGTTTATCTTTATAAGTATGTATACAATATACGACTAGAGCCGGGAACGGAGCTCCTGGGGGGCTGGCAACGGGGCACTTGTTGGCCCGTCACGCCCCCTCGCTACACATTTCGAGCATTAAGAAAACGGTTAGTCGCAGCTGCTTAGCCATCAGATGAATGCCGAATTCCTGCCTTCAACCGCAACAAAAACATGAAGTAATATTACCTTTTACCTTCGGTTCAAGTGTTGACCTTTTGCCACAAAAAAAAAACATCATTATCATTATCGTTGTCATCATCATTATAATGCTTATGCTCACACCGGCGCAATGCCGCAGTTCAAGAATTTTCTTTGTCTACAGAACTTTGCTAACAAATGTGCAGCGGCGCTTGAATTATTTCTAATTTCTGCGTCGGCATTCAATTATCGCGTGTCCCCATTTATCTTGCTGTAACTGGAGCCGGGACAGATAAACCCACTTTTATTTACGTTTGCCATAAATCAGTTTTAGCCCTAAATTATGAACTCGGGCCGCTTTCGCCACTTAATTGAGATTTAATGGCATCTTGGCTACTAAATTGCTTGGCCTGTGTGCATTTAATTGCTTTCGAATGCTTAATCGAATGCTAAAAAAATGTTTTATATGTAATAATATCAATATCTGTATAGATAATGCTATCTATGTGTGTTTAATAAAAAAAAAAAAAATCATAATAAAATGCAATTTTTAAAGCAATTTTTTTTTAGCTTTATATTTGTAGATTGTAGAAGCTATAAAACTTTCCTTGAATAATTTATAATTTTTACAAAAAAAAATCCAAGATATTGTATAAGAAATTTGTTATTAATATGAAAAAGCTTCTGAAGTGATGCTAGTATTTCTTACAGCCTTTCAACAAGGCAAACATTTATAAAAAAAACCAGCGTAACTCATCCGAGAAATTCTCTTTTCTTACAATATATTTGGTAATCTTTCAATTTCCATCGATATTGATTACACCCACAACTCTTTATATATATCTACCTAATGTACTCTTGGTTAATCGAAAAGTTGACTTGTTTCGCTTGCCAAATTGTTAGCTTTGCTAACACATGCAAAAGTGTGGCATGCCACATGCAAATTGAAAAGCTTTCGTCTAATTTGATATTTGTTGAATAATTACCAAACACAGCATGCGCGTCTAATGGCGCGTGTGAGAGGGCTTAGCTGCATGCAGCTTCCCAATTTGTGGCCCATGAATAAAACATTAGAGCTGAACTCGGGCTGCTGTCCGTATATTGCTACGGCAACACGCGGCATTTAATTAAATATAATTTTTATTTTTAGATAGCGCTTGGGCGTTGAAAGTGAAGCGCATGTTTTTGTAATTTATTTTGCACACACTCACCACACACACACACACTTCCATTAGAGACAAATTGAAAGCATACAAGCCGCCGGCTCAACAACTTTGGCAAGCAAAAACAAAAACCAAAAAAGCAAAAACAAAATACAATACAAATTTTACATGAAATGCGCTTATGGCGAAAATTTGTTTTTCATGTTTGGTTTTTATGCTGTGTTTTTTTTTTGCTCTCACTCATTTGTTTTTTCTTCGTTTGCGCTGCGCAATTTAATTAAAAAATTTACGGCGTTTGGAAAAATTGTATTATTGCGTATACGCACTGCGGGCCAGCATTTTTATGGCGCTCATAAATTTTCGTGTGTGTGTGTGTGTGTGTATGTGTGAACATTCGCGCATTTGTATACACAAATCATTTGGTCAAAAGTGGCTCATAAAGTATAACAAAATGTTAGCCAGTTTTTTGTTTCTATTTCGTTTTTTGCTTTGCCTTTAACTGTTTCGCATATGGGCTCTGCCCTGTGGCCTTGTGCCTGCTCCTTGGCTCCTGGCTGCACTGTTTATTTAAAACGTTTTTCAAACACCATTTTAGCTAGCTGCCCCAGCTGCAGCCCCCAATCCCGCTGCCTTTTGGCCTCGCTTCGGGCCTGGCCACAATTCTTTGTCGCTGTTTTCCCCGCTTGATTTATGCAGCAATTAGTAGCGAGGCGTGGCGAGTGGGCGTGGCGCGGGCATTGTTGTTGCTGCTGCTGCTGCTGTTGCTGCTAGACTAGGCACTAGAGCTGTTGCTCACGTGGCTGTTGCAAGTTTAATTGCCCTGTTGCCGCCTCGCTGCTGTTTGGGCCACATTTGTTGCCTACTTTTCAGCGCGGCCGCCACAATGAACTCTCGATGCTGGCGCCACTTACTTACTTACGCTTACTTAGGCGCCAGCCTTTTGGCCATGGCTCTTGGCTCTTGGCTCTTGGCCGTTGCCTGCTGGCTGCTGGCTGCTGGCCTCATTAAAGATGGCCCGCAAACGTTATACGCGATCGATAGACTGCTCACTCGCAACTGCGGCGGCAACTGTGAATTTTATGCAATAAATTGCTTTGTTAATAAAACATGAGCAGTGGGCGTGGCTGGCGGCTGGATGATGCTATGTGGGTCATGCATGAATTTAAATGATGTCATTTGAACGTGCCACCTGCAACGGCAGAGCAAATAGAGAAAGAGAGAGAGAGAGAGAGAGAGAGAGAGCGCAGCAGCTGCTGCTATTTTCAGTTCAACTTAATGGCGCTGACTTTAATATTTTTCGCATTAAATTTGCATTTGCTGTACGGCAAATTCCAGCTGCAGCATTTGCAGCAGCTGCTGCTGATACTGTTGCTGCTGCTGCTGCTGCTCCTGCTGCTGCTGCAACTATTGCTGGCTGGCCAACGTGGCGTATGCTTGACACCGTTTGTGATATATGAGCGCCAAGCCACTCCACTCGACTCGCCTCCCCTGCTGCTCTCGCCTCCTGGACTCGTCTCGTCTCCGCTGGCAAATATGAAATATGCAAATGCTCACATAAAAGCGCTTGGCACAAAGTTCATATCGAGCAGCTAAAAATGTTTTAAAGAGTTTCTCCAGCTCCTCGCTGTTCAATTTCAACTTGCACCAAAAGCTAAACTTTGCAGCTGAAGTGCAAAACTGCAAATCAAATTTATAAAGGAGAGCAACAACAGCAACAACAACGGAATACAACAAAATTCTTTGCCTTAATGAAAACAGCGAGCAACGAGCAGAAAAGTAACTAACACAAAATAAAAATAAAAATCAAAATAAAAATAAAAATAAGAAAAGAAAAATATTAACAAAAAGTGCGCAAAGAAACGGGCAACAACCTTCAAGCATAATGAGCGCGGAAAACTATGTCAGCTCAGATGATGTACAACATGGAAGCGAGGGGGAGGCGAGGCGAAGCTGCTGCATGGCCTTATGCATAAACAACAAGTTGCAATGCAGCCAGCAGAAAAAAAAAAAGACAATAAAGGAACACATAAAAAGGGTATCATAAACTTGTGCAAGCTGCAAGCCAGCGGCTGAGTACATTTCAGACACAGAGTAAGAGAGAGAGAGAGGGAGAGAGTACTATAAAAAGTACTTCTCATATTGAACAGAGAAGCTTAAAAAGTATTTTATTTACATAGAAATATTTAAGGAAAAGTCAAGCTAGTCAGATGTGTGTATATATATTGAATATAGAGAGTTGCTGGAAACTTTAAATGGTTTTTTTTTTAGTAAATACAAAATATGCTTTCAACTCTACAATCTACATGCAATTTCATTTAGCATTACTTTAATGCACACACATGCAACAATTAAAGTATTTTCATCATATCATCATCCTCTCTGCTCCATTAACATTTCCTCTTCATGCACTCACAAATCATTTACAATTCTAAATTATCATTTGGCAAGTGAAATAGGTAAATACGCAGTACAATCATAATTTATATGATAATCTCATGAATTTTTCAGAGTATTCCTAATGAAGTTTTAGACTGTTGGGCGGCTGCAGATAATGGGCGCAACGGTAACGGTAACGGTAACGGTAAAGGTAATGGCAACCCAAAGTTGCCCGCCCACTTGTTTCGCTTTACTGTTGGGGTCCTAGGCAAACGTTGGCAAGCACTTGTCATGTGCAGAACGAGCAGAGCATCACCCCGAGCACTGAGCACCGGCACCGCCTTGGGGCCAAAGGACAAGTTGTTTTCGTGCATAATTAATGCAGGCGAAATTCAATTTTGAGTTGCTGCCGTTTCTCTGTATTTTGCTGCTCATGTGTAGAGGACACACGCAACAGCCATTGCCCCCTTTGCCCCCCTTCCCGGTGCCAGCCACAAAGCTAGGCGCGTGTTGCCTTCAGTCTGCCCCTCCATTCTGCTAAAGTGAAGAGATTTAGGGAAATAAATTGAGGTTAAGCAGAAGGCGATTTCAATTGCGACTCTGTTGCCTCTGCCTATCGTAGCTTCGGGTCGTTTTCTCTCTGTGTTCTCTCAGTTTGCTTTGTTGTTGTTTGAACGCACAAAAATGCTGTACAGAAGTTTTCATGAAAACTTTTTTCGGTTGTCAGTTGCCAGTTGCCAGTTGCCAGTTGCCAGTGGTTGGTGGCAAGTTGGCCCAGTTGTGGAGCGGCACGCTTATGGAGTAAATTGTTGCTTTGACCAGCAGTTGGCATTGTCGTTGTTGTCGCTCTTGTTGCAACAGTTGCTCAGTTTGTTTGTGCAACACACATGCACATACAGAAGAACGCTGCTGCAACAACTGAATTTTCACATATTGTTCTTCATCTTTTTCCTATCTCTCTCTCTCTCTCTCTCTCTCTCTCTCTCTCCCATTGTTGGACTCCAAGTGGCCAGTTTTTGTTGTAGGAAATGTTGGGGAAAAACTTTTGTGCATTTTGTACAGTTTTGCAAATGTGGTTGGTAAACGTCCCGGCCGGCCGGCCGGATCCTGGCTAACCGCAAGGCGGCTGCCGCTGCTGCTGTGCGTTGGGCCCCATTCGAATTTGGCATTTACTGCATTTGGGCCGTTCAATTATAGCTAAAGCTTCGAGCCAGTTACCAGTTGCCAGTTGGCCATCAAATTCTAATTTATTTACATGCATTTTGCACAGCTCGAGTTGGAGCTGCAACTGAATCTGGAGCTCAGCAGCTGCAGCAGCTGCAGACGCATTTGTGGCAAGGATAGCTGAGCTCTTATTTGCTTGCCCTCACACGCTTCCACTTAGCCGGGCTATGAGTTCGGTTCGGTTCAGTTCAGTTGTTGGCCCAGTTAACATTTCTTTTAGCCCACTTCACTTGCTAGTTTTTCTGGTTTGTGTCTTTTTTCGCTGCCTCTCTTATTCGTTTTCCCAATTGCCCATTTACATTTAGATTGAGGCGTAATGCAATCAAATGACCAGCACAAATATCATGTGTGTCTAGATATATCTGTATATCTGTATCTGTATCTGTCTGTGTATATGTATGTATAGGTGGCTAACCCATTTCAATGGCCGTTTTTGGACAGCCTCATTTAGCTTGCATTAAATTTGCATTACGGCGCCCGCCTCCCCGCTTGCCCTATGCAAATAATTGCTTTCTAAATGCGCGCAGTAAATTGAAAAAGTTTTGGGCCAAGCTGCGAGCCAAGAATTGCACCTAAATATCAATTGCATGTTAAGAGTTGGCCAAGTTGTGTTTTCTTTTATTTTTTGTTACCCTCTCTTTGTGTCTCTATCTCTCTCCTCCTCCCACTCCTTTTGGTTACACTTTGGGGCCAGCTATAGAAAACTTTTACTTTTCCTGCTCCACTTGCGATAACAATGTGTGCTCTGTTGTTGCAAGCAAAGCCTTTGTTGTTGCGGCCTTGCAGCTGCAACAGTTGCTTGCATAATTTGCAGCACACTCTTTGCAACGTGCTAGAAGAATTAAATGCTGCGTATACGTAATGTGAGATGGCATGCTACGTTCTCTGAACCTTTTCTGCTCAAATTTGTTTATAAATTAAACATATAATAAATATAATTGATTATTTAAGGCACTCTTAATTTGCATATTTAAAGCATCTTCTTTGGTTTCCTTAAATCTTGCTCTATTTCTACATTTATTTGTTGCTTTCAGTTCAGAATTTGGCTGAATAAACAGAACAACAACAAGAAGGAATTTCTAATGAACAACATTCTTGTAAGATGAAAACCAAAACAAAAACAAAAACGTGCCCAGTTTGATAAAAAGAAATACGGGCAGAGTGAGAGCAGAAAGGAAGACTTACAGAATTCTAAGCAGATCAGCAGACCTTTTCAATTGAAACCAAATAAAACCTTGAGGCGGTAGCACACAAAATATTTCAAGCATGCTTTGCAGTTTTCAATGCCAACAGAATGTAGCTATATATAACGGCATATATATGTATAGTAATATATACAATAAGAGATATATGTATGTATGTCTATATGTAAGTTATAGACTATGTTAGATAAATACCTAAAGAAGAACCTGGATTTCATGGCATAAGCCTCTGTCAATTTAAGTTTCTGGCTTCCAGATATTGCCTTAAATATTTACAATAATTATAATCACTTTTTGCTGGGTATACTTCTAGTCGGTTTTCAACCAACGACAACGCGTATATTTAACAAAGTTCCATGGCTATTATTTGCAGTTGTTGTTGTCTTTGCAGTAGTTGTTGCTGTTGTTCTCGCAGTTGTTGTCGCTGTCGTAGCTGTTGCTGTTGTTGCTGTTGCTGTCGTAGCTGTTGCTGTTGTTGCTGTTGCTGTTGCTACTGCTGTGCATTGGCATAATTTGGCACTTAATTGGCAGTTTGTTGCCTTTGCTGTTGCCGTTGCCTCCGCCTCCTCTGCCTCCGCTTCTGCCTGCTCCTTTGCATTTGCATTGCCCGCTCGCTGTGGTCCTGTTCCCGCACCGGATTTCAGGATCTGCCGCTGCACACTCTGGGCACATTTATCAAGCTCAGGCACGCTGTCAGCGCACAGGAGCTGTGTTTCCCTTTTCTTATTCAACTTCTCGCCTGGCTGTGCTCTGTCGTTTCTGTTTATTGTATTATTGTGTTTTCGGTTTGCTTGCCTCTGTTGCTCTGCGCATACAGACAAACAGACAGCAATGCATTATGTATGTGTATTTTCTTTGATTATTTTTATTTTTGGCGCACGCACGTCAACCGGAAAACGGAAATACGCAAATTTGCGCATTCAATGCATATTCCTTCTTCTTGCGAAGTTCTTTTATCACGTTCTGCTTTTGGTTACGACTTGGCTTATTGCTGATGAGCTGCCGAGTTGATTTATCTGCCTTTGCTCAGGCTCCCTTATCTGCCCTGTCTCCCTCTCTCTCTCTCACTCTCTAGCTCTCTCTGTCTATGCTCTATTTTAGTGCGTTATTTGTCTGCTGGCATTCGGTCTATGGTCAAGTCTTGAAATTTGCGGCTTTAATCGCTCGTTTTGAGCTTTTAATACGCTTTTCGTGTTGCCCTGCCCAATTTTCGTTCAACGTGAGCTCCAGACACAGATTTGTTGCTCTCCCCTCTCGCCACTCGCCCCGTGCCCTACACAGTTCACTAGAACAACAACGAAAATTGCCAACGCAGCATTCACATCATTATGAGCATCATTATCGCCATCATCATCATCATCATCATTTGCTTTGCTTTTGGTTGGTTTGCTGCTCATCAGTGAACAGAAAATCAATAACCGCACCCAGGAACAGGCGTCGTCTGGTTCGTTGTTATTTTTTTTATACTTTTTTTTTCATTTTTTCTGTTATTTTTTTTTGGTTTTCCCATTGCCCATTGCCCATTTGGTTGCATATCTATCTCGCTCACACCTATTAAATGACTGTCAGTTATTCTTTTTACGCGTCGCATCGCATTAGGCAAAGGCAAATTATGAGCGCAAATAGCGAAAGCTTCCAAGCAGAGAGCAACAACAGCAATGGCAAACACGTTCCACTCCTTCCCCACACACACACACACACTTAGACCACACAGCTGCTTACATTTTAAAGGCAGCGCCTAAAAGTATGCCGCGCTTTAAATGCAGACGGCGCATAAAATGCAATTTATGTGACGCATTCAGCTCCTTGGCCGAGCGTTAATTGAGGCAGCAGCAGCAGCTGCTGCTATTGTTGTTGTTGTTGCTCTGGTCTGCTATGGCTGCTGGCATAATTAATCCGCTTTAAGGGTCAGGTTGGGCCAACCCAACCCTTAACCACAGGGCATAAAATATAGGATTAGGACTAGCCTAAGTCCTGGCGCCCTTTGGCACTTTGCACGCCGCTAATCAAAAATTATCAAAGGCGACAAACTTTGCGGTTAACTTTAATCGATAAATGCTACAGAACTAAGCTTAAATCTATCTGCGTTCGTACTCTGCTCCCCTCTCCAGCAACGGCAATTTGCATGCACTGTCAAGCGTTTGCCATGGCGGGTGAGCACTTGGAACACTTTGCAGCTAATAAGCCAACATTTTTATTGGACTCCCCAGATGAGCTAAGCTAAGCAAGCAATAAACTTGCCAGCTTAGCAGCGGCAGCTCCTTGGAGATGCTGCTCCCTTTGCTCCCGGCTGAGAAG